GAGAGAGAGAGAGAGAGAGAGAGAGAGAGGGTTTGACGGTCTTTGTCCGTGCAAAAGATTGTAATTTGGAGGTGATAGTTGATTGATTTTAATCTCATGGTTTTTTACTGTTGAGGGTTTTTCACGTTAAATCTCATGTGATTCTATTTGTTGTGTTTGGTGATTTTTAGGGTTTTTGCGAGATCTAAAAATCCTAACAGTTCACATCCCAGAGGAAATTTCATCAGGGACGTATCCTAAACGGTTTCTCTGCTGGAATTTTTTTTCCCACCTGTAATTACATATATTTTCCCCCTGTAATTACATATATTACTTGTAAATTCAATAATAATTCGAATCGAAGAAATATGCAAATCTAAATCAAATATGTGCATTCAACGTACACCTTCCAATATACACATTATAATACACATACCACGTTCCAAGTGGCCTGTTTCGTCACTTTGGTCAGTGACCTGTTTCGTCACCTGAGCTTTGCCTGAGTTTGGACCAGGCTGAGATCGGATTGCGTGTAATCCTCTAGTCGCCTGTTTTGCGGGATTGGATGCGCGTAGGGGATTTGTGAATAGTCAGTTATCTGATGATATTAACGTTGACTCTATGTGAGATGTGGACCAATGAGCTATTATAGGATGGCTAGTTGTATGACCTTGATACTTGGATGATTATGGATTCTTCTGATTGTTATACTCTAGTGGTGGATTGAATCTAGCTTATTATTATTCTAGCTACATGTTTCTCTTTATTATTATTGTTATTGCTTTTGGTCATTCGACTGTTTCTATTTTCTTTTGTGGGGTTTTGACGTGTGTCATGCACGTTGACGTACACATGTTTTCTCTGATGTACGTCAGACTTAGAGGAAGGACAGGTCCATCTTGGAGATATGGCAGAGCCCGAGTATCCTCAATAAGAGTGCTTTGCAGACAGAGCAGAAGAAAAAGTCGAAGCCTGGTTTTTCTTTTATTAGTTGATGGTCCTAGTTTACTTTTGTAACACTTTCCTTTTCCGCTTGATCAGTATATTTTTATATTTTCCAGTATTTTAGTTAGATTATTTTGTATCAGAACATGTTGACTCGTATATGATGTCTTGGATGATATTTTCCTTGTGATATGTATCATGTTGTTCTGGGTTGTTTATTATATTCTCGCTATTGTGATCAAGACCTATGACTTTACATTGTATTTATTTCTTGACGCTTAGCGTATTAGATTGAGTAGAAAAATTCTAATACTTATTTCTCCTCGGTCTAATACGTCACGGGTTTGTTCACATCCCGATTCCCTCGTATTTCGGGAAGCGGGGCGTGACACATTATACACATTATTGTGTTATATATCACACCATTTTTAAAAAAATTAATTATTCAACGAATCAAACATTATCAATTAGGGTTCCACTTACGGTTAATTTCTAAAATATGTTCAATTAGGGTTAGGATTATTAGGCGTAAATGTAGTTCAATTAATGTTATTATGGTTTAAATTAGGATTTTAACAATCAAAGTTATGAAGGGCAAAATGCAACTTGATTAGGGTGAGTAACACAAATATAATTGAATAATAAACTGCAAAAATTATAAAAAAATTAATATTTCTTATGAAGCCCACTTTAAATTAGGGAGAGTACAATATGGGGTGGATTGGCGACTTTTGCGCAGCAACATCGTCCCGGACAGATCTGCATTTTGGAAAAGAGATGTGATTCAAACATAAATTTTCATAAAAATAAAAATACAAGAAAATACCACAACTAAAGATCTGAAATTTTGATTAAAGATCTAAAAATTTACCTTAAATTTTTAGATTTGGATGTTGCAGCGGCGGCAAGGCGACAAGGGGTGCGAAGGCGGAGGGCAAGGCGGCAAGGGTTACGCGTGGTGGGGGAGAAGTATTGCGGTGTAGAACGGGAGCAGCGGCGGCAAGACGGGTGTGGGCAAGGGCGGCACGGCAGCGGTAAGGCAGGTGGTGTGCAAGGGTTTTTGAAAATTTGAGAGCTGATCCCTAAATTTCCCACTTTTGTTACTTTTTTCGAGGGTCCTACCATCACAGACGAAATTTTCTGTCAAGGATATATCCTAGATGGAAAAATCCATGTAGGATGGTAGGACCCGCGGAAAAACTTTTGTATTAAAAAAACCGTCTACAAAGAGTTATGTAGACGGTTCTCCATCTAGGATGTTTCATCCTAGACGGATAATACTAGCCTGAATGTTTACCGTCTAATATGATTTTCATCTTGGTCGGAAATCTTTCCATCTAGGATAATCTATCTAAGAGCGTCTTTTTTTACTAGTGCGTGCTATAGTTGTAACGCTCGTAGATCATGCTTATCATATGTTGTGGAGAAAATCTTTCGCAGATGAGCTACAAAAGTTTTTTTTATACAATTCAAATAATTAATATCATTCATAGGGTACTAAGTGAGAAGATAAGTGGTGAATTGTGGAGTTTCTCTACAAGTAAAGATGTAGAGGATCTCTATAAAAAATATTTAATTATGGGATCCGCTAAGATAAACCAGAAATATTGTAGACTTTCTCTGCCATCAGCATTGTAGATAATCCGCATCCAAAGGGACTCGTTTTAACAAAGTGACTGAAACTATAAATCCTACGGAAAACAGTTGATAACGTATTTAGTGCATTGTGAGTGAAACTATAGTGTAGTTTAGTGCTTCTTAACTGAGAAGAAAACATACAATTTAATCTTTTTTTAATGCCGAAACTTCCCCCCTTAGGCCCCGTTTGATAAAGGGTTAAGAAAGAGGGATTACGGAGAAGGATTAACATAGTTAACCTACTTGATAATCCGAAAGACTAAATTATTAACTCATTATATAAGTTTTATTTTAACCTTTGTGATCATTTTTAGTGTTTGAAAATAACAATGATTTTGACTATTTTCTTTATAATTAGAAGTGTTAACTCTTAATCATTCTAAATAGGAGTATTAGTAATTAAACCCATTATTTTGAGGGGTTAACTCATTTTAACACCTCAAGAGAGGTTAGATTAACTCTTCTTTATTTTTATGTTTGGCAAATTATGGAGGGTTAACTCACTTTAACCCAGCTTGTATATATAGATTTTTTATGTTTGACAGGTTAAAAAGGGGTTAAGTTCCCTTAAACCCTCACTTAACCCTTTGTCAAACGGCAACTTAAAGTTCTAAAGACGTTTGCTAATTAACGGCCAACCATCCTTCCCCGTGAAGTGCGGCCCCATAATAATTAATAATAGTTCAAGGACCAATAAATAATAGGGAAAAACGAAGAGTAGCTGCTCCACTTCTTTGTCCGTTAGCTTTGTGCTCGATAATTTCCATTCAGATGGCTCCACTTCCACTTCCTCCTCCTCCTCCTCTCCTCCTCCCTTTCCTCCTCCTCCTGTTCGCATCTCCTACTCTCTCTTCAGTGACCGTAACTCATCTCCCCGGCTTCAGCGGAGCTCTCCCCTTCCATCTCGAGACAGGGTACACTAGATTGCACGCATGATATATATACATATATAGCCTTAGTTCTCTCTGATTAATCTCGATCGGTGCGCTCTCGATGATCTCAGGTACGTGAGCGTTGATGGTGTGAACGGTGTTGAGCTGTTCTACTACTTTCTACAGTCGGAGAGGGACCCTAAGGAAGACCCTCTCATCCTTTGGCTCACCGGGGGCCCTGGCTGCTCAGCCTTCAGCGGCCTCGTTTTTGAAATCGGTACGGAATTAAAACTTTACTGATTTGTGAGGGCCTGAGATCCAACCACGTCGCTTTCTTTACACAAGAGAGTCTTTTCCCCGACACATGGGTGTTGCTCTATAGCTAGCTATCTCTGGAAATCTTATTTAGCAAAATGCAGTCGTCACCTCATATACAATTTTTTCAGTTTACATAGACACACACAAACACAAACACTCTCAAAAGAGAATATAAAATTTATTCTTAATCATTAATAGACTTCATAAAAATTATAAACTAAATATTAATGCTAACTCTAGTATACTTTTATCTGATAAAAGTATCCACATGAGCATATAAAAGTACTAAAAAAAGTTCATGAACCTCATTTCTAAAGATTCCTAGCTTCATTCAAAATAATTAAACTATATATTCTATAAAATATTCAGAAAATATTGTCTTTTATTCCTTCTATTTTATTTTTTTATTGAGCTAAGAATATCAATCATTCTTCACCTTTATCTTTTTCTTGTGTAATTCTACAATAGTGTCTTCATCATCTACAACGATTGTGACATCAGGCTGGAGTTGTATTTTTTGCACTGTTATCTTTCCTAGGCTCGTTATTCTTTGATCTTCTCGTTTAACTTCACAAAAAAGTCGGGTGAATTTCTGATGTTCAACACAAACTTCTTGAAATACAGACTTTGATTTTTTTTCCTATTTCAAAGAGAATAAATTTTAATTTCATATATATAAATTATTTGTGTTCCAAATTTATTACTTAAATGAGATTATGAGCTACTTCTTTTTTTGGTCGATGAAATAGAATATATTCATTCACCAAATTTAGAATTGAGTGTACATCAAAACTCTGCTAGAAAAATTTCATTGTAACGATTAAAGTTGTAATGAATGCAGCAATGAATACAGCAACTTTTTCCGCAAACAATGCGTTGACCGGCATTGACCCTTAGGGTTTTGAATCGTCAAACGTTGACTTTTGTCGCAATGCTTTGACTGGCGTTGACCTAAGGTTACGCGTTGACCGGCGTCGACCCTTAGGGTTTCGATTCGTCAAAGGTTGACTTTTGTCGCAATGCGTTGACTGCGTTGACCTAGGGTTACGCGTTGACTGGCGTTGACTCTAGGGTTTTGGATCGTCGTACGTTCACCAAATTTAGAATTGAGTGTACATCAAAACTCTGCTAGAAAACAGTCTAGCAACCAAAACTGGAGAGAAAACCCAAACTGTTTACAGTTTTTCTAATCTATCTCTCAAATACTCAGGAACATCTTCATTAAGTATTTTTTGAAGTATTGAAATTTTTACTTCTCTAACTAGCTGATCAGAACTTCGGCTTCTTTGCTGAAAAATCCTCGCATTTCTTTCCTTCCATATCCAGTAAACTGTTGCTGACAAAATCATTCTTTTCAACTTCTTCATGAATCCAAAGCCCCTCAAGTTATTAGTATACCAGTCAATCACACGATCCCAGTTGCATTTACGCGTTGATCGGCGTTGACCCTTAGGGTTTTGGATCGTCAAACGTTGATTGGTGTTGACCTAGGGTTGCGCGTTGACCGGCGTCCACCCTAGGGTTTTGATTGGTCAACGGTTGACTTTTGTCGCAACGCGTTGACTGGCGTTGACCTAGGGTTACACGTTGACCAGCGTCCACCCTAGGGTTTTGATTCGTCAAAGGTTGACTTTTGGTGCAACCCGTTGACTGGGGTTGCCCTAGGGTTACGCATTGACCGGCGTCCACCCTAGGGTTTTGGATCGTCATACGTTGACTTTTGTTGCAACGCACTGACTGGCGTTGACCTAGGGTTACGCGTTGACCGACGTCCATCCTAGGGTTTTGATTTGTCAATGGTTGCTAACCAAACCATCATTTTGTTCCACACATCAGAAGTATAGAGGCATTCAAAGAACAGGTGCCTACATGAATTCTTCTTATATGCATCCAATAAGACCTTCTATTATGTCAATAACGTTACTTTTGCTCTATCCCTATAGTTTTTCTCAAAGATCTGAATTAAATACATGTATTTTTTATTACCAATTTGCCTCAGATTATAGTATTAATATTTTAATATTTCTTTAGTATTTGAAGAACAAAATATAAAATTTATGAATACTTACTAATTTTTCTTATATCTTCCATGGAGAATTCTTCTTTGATTGAGATAAAGTTGTTAATTATTCTTCAATGAAACTCAGTCGGTGTTTTTTTGATTTATTTTTATCGTTTTATCATTTGCAATAGAAATAACTTGATTCTTTTGAATGGTATCTTTGAACATTCTGATAGTTTCTCTATATGTAATTCATTGTATTATTTTACCTTATAAATATTACTAACACACCCTTGGGGTGTCTCGGTTTTGCCGAGACACCCCATGGGGGTGTCTTGGTTTGTGTGGTCCCCCCCCTTTCTTTTCTTTGTTTGGCCTTTTCCTCTTTTGTTCATGGTCCCCCCCTCCTTTAATTCAAATTTCAAAGGAGAGAGAGAGTTCCCTCTTCTTTAGCTCAAATCTGAAAATCCCCTCTTCATTTTCGGTTTTGAGGGTTCTTCTTCCCCAAGAGCTCTCTTCCATTGATTCACTTTCAATAACCCATTAACCCTTCAAGTGGAGCTCGGATTTTGGGTGCTTCTTATTGGCCGAAAGCTTGCTCCTCCAAGTGGGGTTCCCTCCTTCATCTTCAAGCTCGAAGAAGCTTCTTTGATTTGGGTAAGCTCTTCCCCTCAATCCTCTTATTTTGCTTTAAAGATTGCATCTTCATGCTTGGTAGATAGGAGTTTATGTATGAAAATATGCTCTTGGGGGTTTTGTGCAAGATATGTAAGGGCCGAAACTTGGGGGTTTATTTGCAAAATTCGTGGGTGTTTATTCACCGAAATGGGAACTGAAATTTGTGGGTTGAATCTATGTTCATTTGATGAAGGAATGGGGGTGCTTTACGCAAAATATTACTAACATCAGAGATTAATGTTTCTAAATTATAATCAATCGATGCTAAGCTATTATATTATAGTTTTTTATTATTTTTATGGATTTAAACATCTATCAATTAAATGTTACTAATATATTTTTGCTGCTCCAACTTATTAGCAAAATTATTTGTAATTACTTTGATTTATATGGTGACAATAATTTTAAAGCTATCATATATTTTTTAAAAATTTTATTCCTTAACCGAATATTATTAATCAATTCTTACTTTTGTTTACCAGCATCAATTTAGACTACTATTATGAAAAGGATAATAAACTCTAAATTGGAAATTGTGTGTGTGTGTGTGTGTGTGTGTGTGTGTATTAATAAAAGAATACCAAATAATTACACATTTCTTTGCCAAGTTTTAAATTTTAAGCCTTTTTAAGGGTGCGATTTGTAATTTTTAAAACTATAGAAGTGTTTTTAAAAAAAATTACTTTTAAGTTTGGCAAGTGTAACTTCTATATTTCATGTGTCGGTAGTAATTTTCAAATGTCAAAATATTTCCTACAAGTCTGAAAATTTAAGCATTCTTTTTGTAATTATTAAAATTGTAGATTAAATATCAGCGATCTGCAATAGATTCCAGATTTAATGTTTACTTGTTAGAATCTTTGAAATTTTAGAGTTTTATATGATTTTTAAAATTTAAAGAAGTCTTATTTTGCAATTTTTGTAACTTTAAGGTTAATTTTGGTCAATTTTAAATTTTTAGGTACATGAAAGTAATCTCTTGAATTCATCTTTTGTTGTTTATAAATTTTAAAATTTTAGAATTTTATGGTGGTTTTTTATAATTTGAACTTTTAGAGTGTTTCTATAATTTTTGAGACATTAAAGGTGTTAATTAGAAATTTTAAAGTCTTCAGAGGCTATTGTTAATTTCTTAATTTTGTGTTTATTGTTCTAAGTTTGAAATATTAAAATTTTTTAGGTGCGTCGTGGTAATCCCTTGAATTCATTTATGTTATTTAATAAATTGAAATTTTAGAATTTTAGGATGCTTATTTGTAATTTAAACTTTTGAGGGTGTTTCTATGATTTTTGAGGCATTCAAGTGTTAACTGTAAATTTTAGATTCTTCATAGACTGCTATTAATTTCTTGATTAATGTTTGTTGTTTTAAGTTTTGAAACGTTAGATTTTTATAATTTTAAACTTTCAGAGTATTTTATGCAATTTTAAAACTTTTTAGGTTTTTTGCAATACTTCATGTATTATAGTATATTAGCTACATATAATTTTTTTATCTTAACAAACTAATACCGTAAAGTTGTTTTATATATTTTATTAATATTTTTTTTAAAATTTTTGAGCTATACATAGTTCATGTAAGATTAGGATATGATATAATTATAATTAGGATAGATTAAGATATAAATAAAATATTTAAAATAGTGAAGGGTAATATTGACCCTGAAAAGATTTTTCCCGAACGCGTGTTTTTAAAAGGATTATATATATACACACACTATGTGCGAAATATTGGGTATGATGTACACTAGTGGTGAAATTGATTTTGTTTTCACGTCAAATCACATAAATTAATTAAATCATAACTATTCTTTTTCTTTTCCGAGATTAATTTGTTAAAAACAGAAATGTTAATTGAACTTGGTTCTGAGTTTATAGCATAACAAGCCACCTTCATGAGGAACAAATATCCTCTATTTATTGAGTATGTAAGCACGTTTTTTGGAATATTGACCTCTCTGACAGAATGGGTCCCAGTCTTGTGAACAGCTCACAGACAATGGCTTTTGAATTGTGTAAGCCTTATCATTAGCCTAATTAAGCAGTCTCTTTTACATTCTAAATAGATGTAGTATCTTCTTTTTTTTTATCTTCTTTTTTTTTTTTTACTTTTTTTTCACAAGGAGGTATGTCTAAATCTTCCGCAAGTCATCCATGACATATGCAGGATTGTCCCTAACAATAAAAACAAGGTAAATTACGAGACCCACTTTGCATTATTGGATGTTTAGCAGTACTCCACCTAAACTTACCAGTTTGTGACAATTTTCAATAGTTCA